TGCACATATCAATAAAATAAAATAAATAAATAAAATATTTTAATAAATAAAATCCAACCAGATGAGAGACCTTGCCAGGGGAGACCAAACGGCGGAGGCTTTGATTATATACTTGTTTTATCAGATAAAAGTTAAACAAAATAGGTTTAATAAAGTAATTATTATGTAGATTAGTTTTATTTATTTTATTTAAAAATATAAAAATATTTGAAAGGACTAACAAAAATACTATTTAGTGCATGACGTCATGGGTTTCATTTATTTTGTGTAGGTAAGTAATCATTTACCGATCAAATAACTAAAGTCATTTTTAAAACAATAATGTTCTCTTGATCATAAGCTGATGTAAGCCTTTTGTATTTTGTCTCCCATAGTTTCGTCAAAACTCCCTAGTAATAAACTGACAACACCGGCTGATCAGACTAACCTACATAGTAACGAATTAAAAAATCGTGTTTTCATACAACAGTAGTGGTTAAATAACAAAACTTATTGATGAAAAGTGATCTTGGTGTTATTATACGGTTTTCTCACATAATTGCGACCCAATATAACAACACAAACCGGCATAATTAATTATTTTCCGTGAGCACGTTATCCTTAAGCGATTCAAATGACACTGAAGTAGGTGAGAAGCGAGTCTACCAATTTTAGTAGACTTTATTTGGGCCGTTCTGTACAATGTGGCATCTAGACAGATATATAACCAAAGCTAAAAATTGTAGTCATCCTATCAGATAATAGCGTAAAAAATATATTTTACTTTATTTTAAACTAAAATGTGTCTATTTTATGCAAAGGAAAAGAAAATGAAACATAATAATTTTTGAAATTTTATCTGCAATAGGAACGCCAAGTGATTGGTTGTAACTCTATTGACGTCATTGACTTATATATTACTCACAGATTACCCCCTAAAGGTGATATCAAACGGTTCACTCGAATGATTGTTCACTCAAGTGAATGCTTCATTTTTTTTCATTCTATGTTCACACGGCTTAGACGAAATGATACAGAAATGAACATTAATTGTTCTTTCTTTTAAATATGTCATCGAATGAAGTCGTACGTCTTGGAATTAGTTTAATTTGTGATCATTTAATCAAAGAGTTGACAAAAAAGTAGCAAAGAAAACGTCGACGGTGGTGGGTGCGACCATGGATTGCAAGAAGAAATTTATTAGGAGCTTCCAATACATTGTTGAGAGAACTAGCCGTTGAAGATTCTGATTCATATTGTAATCATCTTCGAATGGATGAAAGTAAATTTGAAGAACTTAATATAAAACTTCAAATTGTACTGAGATACCTGGCTACAGGTGATAGTTTTGGAAGTTTAGAGTTTTTGTACAGAGTACCTCGAAATACAATATCCTACTTTTTTCAAGAAGTATGAGAAGCCATTTGGACAGCCCTTGGAAAGGTTATTAAGGTCAGTTATATCTATTTAATAAAATATTAAGTTATTTTCTTGAAACATTTTAATTTAGACAATCAACATTTACATAATATTTTTTAGAGCTTGTGAGAGTATGATTTCTTGCTCTTGAGTGAATGTTTGGACAATTGTGACTTGATTGGTCTCTTGTGGTAAACTCACGGGTACAGGCACTGGTTGTGGTTGCGTATAAACTTGTTCGGTGACAAGGTAGTTACTATAATTATACTCCGGTGTTGTATTTTGGTATAGAGGCGACTGGTTGATAGTAAATGGGGATGGAGTGCTGGAGTCCGAGTAAATTACTTCAGGAAATGATTGTGACATCTGTGTTAACCGTTCCTGAGTCATCACAGATTGAAGTTTTTCCTGACATATCAAAGCCCTGTTCAAGGGCATTTTCTTGAGTTGTACTGCCAAACTTTTGCAAAACAAATCAAACTCATCTTCAGTTTGGACTTTGGCTTGCTCGCTTATAGTTTTTAATTCTTTAATTGCTCTATCAATCGGTATATCAATCTTCCTTTTCTTGTTTGTTGGCTTTCGAGAATATGAAGGAGTCATCAGTTCACTACTTCCATTCCTACTAATCTCAGAATTCAGCGTCTTCTGTTCCTCACTGCCAGCTTGAGTCTGCTCAGATTCAGCAGAGTCTTCATTTTGAGTCTGTGGTGCATCCTGTAATTAAAATGTTGACACTTTTATTATTACAGGTTCCTGGAAGTCAACATGAATGGAATAACATAATGGAAGACTACTATAGATTATGGAACTTTCCAAACTGTTGTGGTGCAATGGATGGAAAATTGGTGAATATAAGATGCCCAGGAAGATCAGGCTCTGAATATTTCGACTACAAAAAGAATTTTAGTATTCATCTATTTGCAGTAGTAGTTGCGAATTATAATTTTATTTATATAGATGTTGGGTCAAACGGAAGGGCAAATGATGCATCCGTCTTTAATAAATCAACACTGAATGAAGCTTTGTTGTCGAATCTTCTAAATTTCCCAAAGGAAGGCGTAATCGTCGCAGATGATGCCTTTCCTTTGCGGACGGATGTTTTGAAACCATATAATACTAGAGGAGAGTTTGGCGATAAACAAAAAATATTTAACTATCGGCTGTCAAGAGCTCGACGAGTGGTCGAAAACTCTTTTGGAATATTAGTATCAAAATTTCGAATCTATGAAAAGGCGATTCCATTGTCAGTGCAAAAAGTTGAACAACTTGTTAAAACGACGTGTGCATTACATAATTGGCTCAGAAAAACTACAGTGGACTACGTGCAACAACGATCACTGGAAACTGAGGATTGGGTCACAGGGTCCATTGTACCTGGAGAATGGCGAGAAGTACCATCTTTAGCATTAAGCGATTTACCACCAACCAATGCAAGAAATCATAGTGAAAATGCCCGCCGCGTGCGTGACGTATATACAGAAAAGTTTGTCACTTCATGCACTGTACCATGGCAATGGAACATGATAAGAAGAATATGATGTAATAATACTGAATAAACCTATACAATTCATATACGTTGTTTTTGTTTGAGTATAAGTATTAAGTAGGTACCTACCTAGCTTCTGTTCACGTAGTGGTCGCTTATCGAACAGACAGACAGAGTTACTAGGATATGGATTAATATTATGTATATGGATTAGTATGGATTGATAAAAGATTCTACTTACGAGACTTGATGTACTCTGCCGTGGGACGCATACACTGCTTAAAAATTCTGCATGTTTAAACCAGTACAGGGTCGGTACATAGACATCGTCAGAAGAGCAACCGCTTTTAGTAGACTGCTTTATTTTGTTTAATTCTGTTGTATACCGGGTCCTTATCGTTTTTATTTTATGTTTAATATCTTCTTCAGTAATCTCTAAGTTTAAATCACTGATTAGAGATTTTATAGAGTTTGCCCGCATTGTTCGGTCTTTGTATTCATCAATTTTGTGGTTCCAAAGGCATTGATAATTTTTAAAGTTCTCCAAAAAAAGTAATGTATTTTGATCGTTCCACTTGAACACCATTTTGCCGCATGAAAACAATATAATAACACACAGAAAAAAATATAACTTCATCGACAACGTGATGTCCGTCGGCTACAGGACTCGAAACAAAATGGCCGAATCCGAATGAACGTTCTCTCAGTGTTCAGACCGTTCCCGTTCATTCGGAGTGGGAATGAAAGATACCGGATGCCAATATCCAACACTGTTGGATCGGTTCACTAATGAATTCATTCGGCACTCGTGTTTCATTTTTTGTTCAGACATTTCATTTCGAGTGAAATGTACCGAATGAAAGGTGAAAATGAACAAACAAAAAATGAACCGTCTGATATCACCTTAACAGATTCCGCATACAAAGCCACAAACTAAATATAGAAAAATATTTTTTTCTTATTCCTCAGACATGCAGGTTTCCTCACGATGTTTTCCTTCACCGCCGAGCACGTGGTAAATCAGCACTTAAAATAGCAATTAACAATTTCATTGGTGCCGGCGGGGATCGAACCCGGGTTACTCGCGTTCTGTTATATTTACAGCGAGCGTTAACCACCTGAGCTACCACAGCTCACTAGTGTGACATGAACTTCAGTAATATCCTATTATTATTATTATTAAGTACATGTGAATTTGAAACACGTACCATATGGTTTTTTAATAATACTACTTTTAGGTGCAGCACTTGGCAAAAATACTGTCACCACCGAAAGGACATACCAGAGCACACACAAAGGATCCACACCATTTTGTTAGTACCAGTTCTGTGTTTTGTTGGTGGCATTATCGACCAGTTTGATAGTTGCAGGACGAATGGATCGGCTCTACCAAAGAAGGGCCACGCTCTCACTGTACATCAGAATAAATAGCAGCTTCATGCTGCTGTGTTTCGTTGGGTGCGCGCAGAAAACTGAAAACCCTTTTTGCTGCTAATGAGGAATCCTATCTCAATCCTCAGGTGTCAACGCATCTACATTTGGATTCTTAATCGAAGATAGACGTAGGTCTGCGGTCTATGAATGAACCGACAATAGATGCGGAAAAGTTCTCGAGTGGTAGTCTCGTACTGGTAAGCAAAATGTAGAGCGGTTTCGAGAACCTATCTAGTGAGGGACTCGAGTCCCTCACTAGAGAGGTCTTCTAGTAAGAGTTGCAGGAAGTCATGGCTCAGAACCGTGCGTTGTGGCATTCCTTGGGGGAGGCCTATGTTTAACACTGGAATTGTGAGGATATAATGATGATGATATATAGTTTTTTTAAAAGAATATTAACAATGCTATAAACATTACTAATATTCCCCTTAACCACTCGTGGTAAGCTTAAATTGCTTGTGTTACGAGTGGTTCACGCCAGTAGTCGAATGGCGGATTCGAACCCACGACCTTTATGAGTTCGCGGTCCACGCCCTGCCATTGGGCTACTGTCACTTCAAAATTATTATACTACTTACTTCGGTGAAATAAATACTTATTTCATGATTTTCTTACATTTAATATTAATCTTTGTACATTAAAGAATAATTATTATCACGAATATGTACATGTATAATGTCTATGTTTTAGATTTATGGCTGACAGATTGCCGCAACACTGCAATGTACGAGGATATAAGATCATCCATTTTATAACCCAGAGAAGTTTCGCATAGAATTTTGGTTCCTCGGACGAAGTTGCCCATAGTCATATGGAAAAAGGTATTACCAGAGGACCAGTTAGAAAGTTGCGAAAACGGATGCGTCACCAAAATATCCTGTAAAAGAAGTATTAAATTAGTACGCAGTAATAAGTAATTCTCAACGGGCCATATACCCGCGACAATGATGACTGGTGATTTTTTTTTAAATACATACTCGACTTTGAGGATGGATAATACTGAGGCCATTCTTATTTATACCAATAACCACCATTTCTGGATATGTTGGGTCAGAAGTTTGTTTAACTTCAAAAAAAGCTGTACCAAATGTCGGTAGTTGGTAGATTTTCTTTAGAAATTGCTCTTTAGCCTCATCTTCCGTCATATTGCCGTGTTTTAAGTAAGCTGCTGTTATCGATGATTTCCACTGTGAGTTAGACTGTATCCTCATCATATCAGAAGGTATAAAATCTTCTAGCATTTGCGTTATTTGTGGCAGTAGAGTTTGATCATTGCCGTATCTCGCTCGATAAATGAGCGCAGCCAATTCAATAAGATCATGTTTCGACGTTTTATGATATCCGCGCAAATATTTTGGCAACTCTTGAGGGAAATAAAATATTTGATCAGCGTTTTTATCCTTCCCGGGAACCGTGTTAATCCATAACTTTTTCATGAAAAATATCTGATAATTCATTTGCACTTGGGAACCCGCTAAAATAAAATAACAAAATGTTAATATTTTTTTCTGAATGAAAATTATTTTTTCCAACAATTATATAATAGTACCCGGATGACCGAGCTTTGCTCGTTTTTTTTTCGAAATTACATTTATAAATTACATTCTGATGAAACATAAATAATATGTTTTGATCTTATTGACAGAATAGAAAAAACTGAACTGGTTATTTGAATAAAAAATCATGAGTGCAGCAATAAGTATTTCTTTTTGAGAAAATGAATAATTGACATACGAGTATAAATATAGGAGTTCATGTGCTGGATACCGTCATTAATTTCGTAATATGCGAGCAGCAACCCAAGTTCAATTATACGTGATAGAGCCACGCTACAGCTATATTATGGTTATAGCACGAACGGGTCGGCTCGACTGGGGAAGTACCACGCTCTCACAGAATACCAGCATAAAATAGCAGCTTATTATCTTGGAACTCTGTCTTTACTTTTTGGTGCAGTCGTTCCCAATCCCAGATAAAAGGAATTAGCCAAGCGTCCTGTCAGAGGGTCGCAGCAAGGGATGTGGGGGCTAGTTTCGCTAAAAAAAGCTAGGTGGTAGTAAAGGCCATGCTGACGGAGCAAGTGACAGTCTATGCGGGCAGTGGGGATAAGCCTTTTCAGCCCTATCTGCCAACTGGATCGAGCTCCCGATGTCGCGTTGTGAGCCAACTTCGCGTCCCTATATTCCCCCGGTAATCCTAACGCCTGAAATTCTTTTTGTTCTAAAGTAGGGCGTTCCCAAAAGTGCACGCTCCATGGAGGGTGGAAAGCCGGGGGGACGAATTTTATAAAAAAATATGGACTATTTAAGGAACATTAGGAAAGAGGGAGAGGTGTCATAGACGCTTACCATAGGCACCAATGAATAAGGAGGAACCGCCATTAAATCGACGGTTCCACGGACTGTACCATCCAGCGTAGTTGGCCCCGCCAAGAGGGAAATTTCCGCGCTGAATGTTTCCAAACCCAGTTCGAAACCTGAGGAACTGGACGCGAGAAAGGAGCAAGGAAAGAGAAAGAGGTGTCAGAGATGCATACCATAGGCACCAATGAACAAGGGGGAACCGCCATTAAACCGACAGTTCCACGGACTGTACCATCCAGCGTAGGTGGCCCCGCCAAGAGGGAAATTTCCGCGCTGGTTGTTCCCAAACCCAGTTCGAAACCTGAGGAACTGGACGCGAGAAGGGAGCAAGGAAAAAGGAAGAGGTGTCAGAGATGCTTACCATAGGCACCAATGAACAAGGAGGAACCGCCATTAAACCGACGGTTCCACGGACTGTACCATCCAGCGTAGGTGGCCCCGCCAAGAGGGAAATTTTCGCGCTGGATGTTCCCAAACCCAGTTCGGAACCTGAGGCGTCCTGGTTCAAGAAGGAAAAAGCAGTCCAAAGGATGCTAAAAGAGTCCACCTCGCTGAGAGACGCGAACAGCAAACAAAGGTTGCAAGAACCAGCTACGCTTCCTCTGCTAAAGCAGATTTGGGTGTAGCCTTAACGTGTGCGAGTTCTAGTCACATAACGAACGAGGTGAATGAGGTCCTCGTGACTATACAGAGAATGATGATCAGCGATGCCTGGAGTAACCAGGACCCTGATGCATCGGGCATGTATGCAAATGCAAACCCGTTTACACGGAGTGTGTCCTGAAGCTGTGGTGCGACGATCAGAAGGCTCTGGATTGGTTGAAGGGGAACATTTCTACCCTCGATCTCAAATCTAACACCTCGCTGATCATAAAGAAACAGTCAGAGATACCACAGAGAATCAAGTGTAGTGTTCTTACCCCTGATGCTCAGCAAGCCTGGAATGACTCACGCGATATCGGTCGTATGCTGGCGTACCAGAAACGTTGGGTAAACATCGGGGACTGGCTGCTACTCAAGACTGATAAGCAGACTGACGGGTAATTCCTCGTTGTTTTGGTGACGGAGGATCATATCCCCAGTGGATATCGGGCTCAGCGGCAGCTCGCTGAATGACGAAGAGGACTGCATTTTGCTGTCCGATTCAGACTCGCTTATTTTTGGACGGGAACGGGGAGGACGCGATCAATGATGGCATGGCGTGCCCTCCGTCCAGAAATAGCCTAGTGCAGGCCAACCTCCGCCGCAGCGAAACTGCGTTGACTGAATTACGTAAGTGGTTAGAGGCTCAGAGGTCGGCCATAGCCTTAATCCAGAAGTCGTGGGACTGGTAAAATCAAAGGCCCAAACAACCTAAAAGGTAAGTTATTCTACAACTTTGAGCACGACAAGCCGAGAGCGTGTATTTATACTACTAAGGATATCTGTGCACAACCATAAACAGATTTCTGTTCCAGAGACATGTATACCGTAGCATAACAAAATTCACAGGGGGGAAGATTAGTCGTCACCTCACTAGTCATATAGATTAGACACTCCTCTCCTTCATGACCTCGTCAGGTTGGTGAATTTCTGACTTGAGGTTGTGATCGGGCCGGACTCCAACGCGCATCATATCCTCTGCGCAGTGGCGAAGCTAGGGCTCCAAACTAGGGCAAGCCCAAGATATGGTTTTGTTGTTTTTAGCAATTTTATAAAAATACACCAATCTTGATCTGACTCCACTCTTCAGTTTCATATTCAGTGCTGTCGAGTACGTGTTTAACAAAGCACACAGAAGGCATACACCTACCGCTAGATAAATTTTATGACATATCAGCAATTGCATACCTTCGGTGGCTTTGAAAAGAGCCGTATGGGTTTTCTTGAGCGAAAGAAAAAGATATTTACATACAATACAATACATGAACAAAAGAAAAGCATGAACAAAGTACAAAAAAACTATGGACAAAGTGAAAAAAAGGGACGCCTGGGAGATGTGAAACATCGAAATTATTTTGCGTAGAAGAACAGATTACGACAGGAATTAGATATGGTATAATAAAAAGATAAAGCATTACAATTTTTTACCTTTAAATAATTACTGTTTGTTATACAATTATTAATTTCCAATTTTAATAAACCTTTAAATACGCCTAGCTTAATTAAGCTTTAATACTAAAGAGTCCTATCGTATACCTATTAAAGTATGAAGAAAAAGTATGTAGAAATGTTTATTAAATTAAAATTACACTTTTAAAGATTTTACCTTTTCCTCGCCGATTAGCACTTTTACACACTTCAATTCATCACAAGGAACACTATTTTCCTCCCAGTTTCACTAAAAATCTTTGAAAAAGCACAAATTTTCAACAGACATAACAAAAACAAACATAAACATTAAAATGTGAAGTGAACTTGCAAACCTATCGCCTGCACGCCCGCGCACTCCTAAACAACTTCAGAACAAAGCCCAGCTTTTGGTTCCATAGTAATTGCTTTATAAACATGTCGTAGTTATATTTCATTATAGAACATTTTGCCACAGGTTAGAAAAGAAGGGATCGTCTTCTCGAAAGCCCGGTAAAAAGCCAACGCGTGTGAGAGAGACGAATAAATCAACTCCTTAATTTGGCAGTCCATTGCGTGTTTGCTTTGAGACAGAGAGAACACGAAGTAGTGTATTTCGAAACCGCCAAGTGTTGACGTTACATATATGCTACGAGGTCATTAATGAACTCATCAGCAAAACAAATGCCAATCACTTCTACACAGTAGGTTATGCAGATGACCTGATAATACTGGACTCTGACATCCATAAGGACTAAGATGGAATGCCTCGTTTCCAGTAAAAAGGGTCTCCGGTTCTCTACACTCTCCATACGAAACACAACAGCATTAAGCTACTATTTTACGCTGGTATTTTGTGAGAGCGTGGTCCTTCCCCGGTCGAGCCGATCCATTCGTGCTACTACTATACTACTAATATAACTGCAGCATGGCTCTACCACGTATAAAACACGTTTTTTGAGGACATGTAAAGTTACTATGCGTAATGGGGCAGCAAGACGAATACTTCCTTGAGAGAAGAGAAGAAAGTGTGTAGGCTAGCATGTTGTATAATGTTAAATATCACGTTAGATAATTATTATTATCATTTATAAACAAAAGCTCTAAAAATACCTGAACGTACTGGCCTCGACCTCTTCATCCATTCCACTAGCTCATGTACAAAATCGAAGAAAAAATAATTTTCTGGGACCGAAAAAACTTTATCGGCTATTTTTACAAACAAGCTAAAACCATCGCTATTTTTCAAATTTAGACGACCCGTGATTTGTTCGCACAGATCCCTCGCTTTCGTAGATGAATCTACTTCGAAAGCCTCATCCGTGTCGTCTGGGAAATATACTTTATGATATATTTGCATACTTCTATGTTGAATTGCTTCTACCTCTACAATATATGGAGGATACATCCTCGGTCCGTACTTTTGAGTTCTAAAAACGCGTTTTAAGCATTCCTTTGCAATAGGATGTGGACGTGTCTTTAGGAATTCCACTAACTCTTTTATTAATATTTGTCCACAAGCAAAGACTCCAGTAACAAGCCACATAAGTTCCCAACCCCTTTCTTCACTAAGTTGTATTCGGTTGTTTGTCAATTGCTTCATTATCTGACAGTACACTTCATCGCGCAAGCTAGGTTCAGTTAACGCTGATCTAAATATATCGTCAGTGTATTCCGTGACTGATCTTGGTTTTGGTGCTGGCAAATCTCCCATATATTTAAGTATTCCGTAAAAAGCTGTTATGGAATGCTTTGAAAGTTTCTCATCACCGATCAACTTCTTCAATAATGGTTTTTTCAACGGTTCTCTACTATGACTCCACAAATCACTTATGACTGGTTTCTTAGCTGTGTTTAAAGTTGATTGTTTTGAGATAGTAACATTGTAATCAGTATTTTCTCTAAAGTATTCCTTGGCAAACTTTTCAAGTGTATGCATTCGCTTTCTTTGAAGTGTGGTGTATTTCGAAAGTGATTTTTTTTCATTACTTACATTACCTTTTTTAAATACCTCTAAAATTTCATTAGAAGGCGATGAAAGTGTAGGTAATATATATACTTGCTCAGTAGGGAACAACCCTTCTTGGCCATTGCAGGCACCGTGACCCCACGTAGAATTCATTAACGTTTCGCCAGTGCAATCATCTAACAGTGTTATGAGATCACCTTTTTTATATTGTAGAAATGACGCAGCGTCGTTATAGCCCTGGGAATCTGTCTGTGCGACTACATATGTAGAGCGCCTCTTTAACCCATCGATAAGATATATCACTAGCGAACTCAACTCTCTGGCGTCTACACTCTGAAAAATAAATTCTTCTTGCTGTATTGTCTTAACTGTTATTCTACCTACATTATCGTATTCTGTATCGTCATCGTAAGCTACATAAGTAACTTCGGGGTACGCTATTTCGAGAAGAATATGTTCCGATTGATCTACAATATATATACCAGTCCAATTAACAGCTATTATAACGATATCTTTATTTATGTTATCTCCTTTTAATTTGACCGCTTCAAAAAATCTCGAAAACATCATTGGCCATTTCAATTTTGCGAATATCACTATATCTTCTTTGCATCGCAACGGATCAACTTTTGACTGTATACTTTGGGCTGATTCAAACGCTTTTGTAACAAGATGTTCCCATTTTGTTAGAGCTACATCATTGGACTTAATGAATTGGTTAGGTATGTAATTAACGATAACTTTCCTAAGCACATTGGGATCTATGCGCGAACCATACTCAATGTAATGTTGTTGCGCAGCCAGCATCGCTAAATCTTTTTCAGAATCACATCGATATTCACCAAATTTAACGCCTTTAGCGACCTGGTGGTAAATTAGATTAGTTGCGACAGGATCTTCTGCAGGATTATGCCAAGGAGTAAATACTTCTTTTCGCAGGAACAGCCTCCACGGTGCGTTCTTTTCAGGTGTGCCTTGCTCTTTAGCGAATTGCTCACATTGAGAAATTGCATCCATAATATGAACAGCTTCATTTCCTAGAGATAAGACTACATCGTACAAAGTTATATATAGAGAAAATCCGAATATATCGGTAAGCCCTATATTTTCAGATATTTGCTGACAAATTTCTTCTGATGTAGTTGCTGAATCTGATTGTACCGTCTTTATTGATTCATCCATAAGTGTTACTGATAACAGTATTGGTTTTTTAGTTTTTGTAGCTTGTAACTCGAGCCAACTTGGTGGTTGGGATCTCGGACCATTTTTAAAAGTTCTCATGAGTCTTCCCTCACAATATGGCGCATATCCAGGAGGCCCCCTGCGTATAAACGACCGCAAATAATTTACAAATCGCTCAGATGGAGGGAAACAACCAACGCAAAGTGATAGTAGGATCCAACCTCGGGCGTGAGAAGATTTTGTGGGATTATTCGTGAGCTGTTTGCACAACTGGCAAAATATTTCGTCGCTGTAATCAAATTTAAAAATAATGTGAAAATAGTTCTGTACTATTGATTGAATATCCCCGTTAAATTTTGTTGATAATAATAAATATATCATTTAAAAATGTAGTAAATTAACTAAATTTTTCTTACCGCAATTCTTTACGAATGATACCATGGCCAATAATAAAATGTAATTTTTCTAGGTTGGTGCTCCGTCTTGAGTTTAACCAATTATTGTACATTTCATTAGTTGATTCATCGTTCATAATACTGTGCATAAATTCGTCATTCATTTTTGCGCGCCGTTTTATTGATTTTTTAATCATTTTGTTCGTGCCTTCCCCATTTTCTGGTTGCAAAAGTTTCTGAAATAAAATTCTCAAAACTAATAAATCGAAACGAATGAATATTTCTAGCTCTATGTAATAAAAAACAGATGCGTTAACCACATCTCAAGTAATCATATGATACATCCATATTTTTTACTGCTGAAATCGAGCATTTAGATTTGAGGGCTTACAAGCAACAACAATTCAATTAGTTGTGCGCTATAATTATACTTGCCGTATAGTACTTAAAGTTACAGCCTATATACGTCCCACTGCTGGGCACAGGCTTCCCCTCATTTCTGAGAGGGTTATAAGGCAAGGACATGTCCGCCGCGCTGCCCCAATGCGTGTTGGGGAACTTCACGTCTTCGAAATATTTTTTCCTTATTCCTCAGACATGCCAGTTTCCTCACGATGTTTTCCTTCACCGCCGAGCACGTGGTAAATCAGCACTTAAAATTGCAATTAACAATTTCATTGGTGCCGGCGGGGATCGAACCCGGGTTACTCGCGTTCTGTTATATTTACAGCAAGTGTTAACCATCTGAACTACCACGGCTCACGTATAGTACCTAACTCAAAATAATTAAAAACTGAGGCTGTCAACCCGCTTGCCAAGGTGGCAACTATGAACCCCCTCTCCCCTACCCCTCCTAAAGGCAATCTATGAAGGAAGCTTGTTCAGCAATAGGAGGAATAGTATATCCCGTATCCGCATAGTGTACCATTAGTTTACATCAGAAATAAAATACCCAGACCCGCGACGCGACGGCCAGCAGCGTTAAAAATGCGAGACCCCTGGCATAGCGATTGCCAATTCGTGTGCCCAGCGTTGCGTTTGCGGCAAATTCTCCCTACCATGGGAAAATCCCATGTTTACCAGTGTGCTTTTAATGGTCGATGAAAATAAGAGAATGAAAAGAAAGAAAGTATAATATATCCCAAATTTTTAACGGCGTAATTTTTATAACGTTTATATGATAAATATTGTATACATTTATAATATTACTAGCGATTCGCCCTAGCTTCGCACGAGTGGTTCCTGAATCTCGGCAGCAGCGCCACCTACTGGTTCCGATTATGGATCTAAGCGATTTTCGAATCAACTTAATGACGCACACAAAATTTCATCAAAATCGGTCAAACCGTTTAGGAAGAGTTCAGTCACTTAATGTCTCCCAGACCGAAATTCAAAAAAACGGCGACGAGTCTCAACGGAGACTAGCCAACGGCGCAAGACAGAATTATAGTGCCCAAGTATATGCGCAAGCACAGGTGTACTGTCTATTCCCTCGCTCTCATAGTCAGATGAGAAGGTAAACCGACACAACCGGAGAGAGAACAGGCGCAGGACCAACGGATTTACGAGTTTTCCGAGGCACGGGGGTGAGACACCGCTAACTTCCTGACTCTGGACAGCTACTTAGAATCGTCGTGACGGAAAAACACAATAATTGATTTTTTTAACAGAAGAATTACATATATAAAGATAAATACTTACTTCAAACTCTTTACTCTTTTGAAAAGCTCTTCCTATTGTATCAGATAGCTTCGACATTACAGGTACATTGTCGATTTTATCATCGACATATTTTGGCTCGGAAATATCACCCATAAATCTTAAGATGGTTATCCACAACGCCTGCGCTGCCACTCTATCCATCGGTGAAGGTAAATCCAGAAGAGAAGTTTTCAAAGGTTTTCTAGAATATTGGTGACTAGTGTTTCCTGGGAAATATGTAGCTGCAAATTTTCTAAAGTTGAATTCATCGAACGGTTCATCTTGCTCTTCCAATGGTAGCGGTATTACATTAGTTATAGATGGTTTTTCCTTCGATGTCTGTAAAAATAGGCAAGTAATTTATTAAAAGAGAAATAAATGGGATTTCTTTTACTCTATAACATGGGGTTGTTTTCTATTATAAATTTATCATACTGTCTTATTCTTAAAACACACTCATATCATATAACCATATGTTATATTATAACATATAATTAGCACTAGTCTTAAAGTCATGGACGTAGTCAACTTTCTTCTGGGGTAGATCCAAAGAAGAAGACAGAAGAAGAAGCACTGCTCGACATCATCTAAACGTGGTAGAGCCACACTGCAGCTATATTATTGTTGTAGTACGAATGGGTCGGCTTGACCAGGGTAGGACCACGCTCTTACAGAATAGCAGCGTAAAATAGCAGTTTAAAGTAGCTGTATTTCGTATGGTGAGTGTAGAGAACCGGAGATGTCTTTGACTGGAAACGAGGCATTCCATCTTACTCCTCAGTGGTGACAAGGCATCTGATTCTTAATCGAGGATACATGTAGATGTCTATGGGTCACAGTATCCACTTACCATCAGGTGGACTGAGTGCTTGTTTATCAACCTTATTCTATAAAAAAATAATTGTGTGGAGTTGACGACATTTATTTTCATAGGAATAGATTTTTTAGCGGGCCGTGCGCACTGTGTCTTTTTTTGGCTACGCTCCATTTCATCAAGTGGGTGCCATAAGAAGAATCTATCACAAATTGATATAGGTATACCCAAGTTGTATGTCACAGCTATACAAATCGCCAATTGCAATCGCCGATTTGCCTTCCCAGCAAGTATGTCTGTGAAAAAGGTCCATCTGCAGCCGGAGACAGATTGGGTATTGTAGTTAGAGGGTTGCTGAGGATTGTGCGGGATGGAAAAGTATCCATTATCACACTTGCACCTTTTTGCAACAGAAGCATAGACTATTATATCATTTAAAAAACTAAAATTGAATTAATAACACTTGCAGAAAACGGTAAAACAGTCGCACAAAATGTTTAGAATTAATAAAATATAAAATTACAAAATTAAAATAGATACCTACATAACGAATGATTTTCTAAGTAGAATAAACTAATATAAAACAAAAGTATGCCTTTAAGAGAAACGGAATGTATTTTTAACCGACTTTAAACAAGAGGAGGTACTCATCTGACTGTATTTTTTATGTGTTTTTTGGTGAATTGATATTAATGATTTTTTTTATTTGAAAGCTGGTGCTCCTCATGTTTTCCGAGATGAATTTGATCAAGATCTGATCAATAGTCTTTGAGTTATCCTTAATAATACGTATTTAATTGATTTAGACTACATTCATGATTTTCTCATTTTATTTATATTGAAGTTGGTTTGTAAATTTCATTTCACTTGTAAATTTTACACTGTACAGTAGCCGGCAGCTAAAACATTTTTAATGTGTTGTGCCATAATGCTGCGTAACAGCGACGTCATACCTGACTAACTTAGTTAACTTAGTTAATATGCAGAATTTCTAGGTAACATACTGTTACGAGCTTGAGGTTCGTAACAATAAAAATTGCCGATAGAATTACCTGAATTAACACTTTAATTTTCTTTTTACACAAATTAAAACTTAAAACACCAATAATTAATCACACTGATTCACTTTATTCCGCTCCGAAGCTTCGCTTGTCTCGCCAAATTCAATACTTCCCCGATCGCACCTTGCAGCGCCTATAAATATAAATTAGCACCGAAATATCCAGAATATTCAAGTAAACACGCGCAAGGTACCGAGAGTTCGAGTTTCAACTTCTAGAAGTTTAGTTCTTCGGTTCGAGACTAGATGGCGCTGTCGGTTAAAAGATTAGTGATGTCATTTTCTGGAAAGTTCCCCTCGCTCTCGTCTCTGACACTAGATGGCGCTAGTGCCGTTGACTTAGGCGCGTAACACTGCCCGCTCCTAAGACATGCCCATCCCGAGCATTATCGGCCCCATAATAACGCGCCAGGCGATCCACATGGACGATCTTAGGAGTCCCTCTTGCGCCTTTCTGTAACGGCTCCGCAATGTCAAGGGCTGTCCTATCCAATGGTGCACCAACATTGTACAATTTCGGTGCTCCTCTACTACATGTCCGAGGTCCCCTCACGGCCGCACAACTTGTACATGTACGACACCAAGCCTCGACATCATCACGATAATGGACCCAGTAAAACTGTTCTCGGACCTTCAGCAGAGTTCGTTTAACTCCCAGATGAACTCTTGAACGACCATCATGGTACCATTTGCAAATGACTGTCCCACTGGGCCCAATAGCTTTTAGTGATCGAACTCATCGCTGAGACGTCGCTCCACTTGGGCTTGGGAGCACTGACCTTCATCCATTCCAGGATCGACTTGATGTCTGGATCTTCCTGCTGTGCACGTTGTAAGCTGTCCTTCCACTCGTTGCTGAGGTGGTCTGCCCTGAGCATCCTCACGGATACCACTTCCTTACTCTCTTGCCTAGTACAATGTTTGCAATCTTCAGGACTAGGTCTTCTTGACAGTGCATCTGCGTTGCCATGAGATTTCCCGCTGCGATGTCTGATAGTAAACTCGTATCCCGGCTGCTGCTGGGCGGTGATGTTAGCCGCACTTCCCTTCTGAGATCGTTCACCTTCCCTTTCTAGGGTTCGCTTAGGGCAGCTGGATCGAAGATGGCCCCTTTCCCCACAGCCATAGCACCTAGGGCTGTATCCTTTATTGTGGTCACGAACCGTAACTGCTGCAACCTCCCTAGCGTGAGGGGAGCGATGATCCCGCTGCCGTCAGGTGGTGCCGTTAGCTGCACTACCCTCTCGAGATCGTTCAACTTCCCTTTCTAGGGTTCGCTTAGGGCAGCTGGATCGAAGATGGCCCTTTTCCCCACAGCCATAGCACCTAGGGCTGTATCCTCTGTTGCGGTCTCGAACTGTAGCTGCTGCAACTTCCCTGACGCGATGGGAACGATGATCCTGCCGAACGGCTTCCACCTCCAGTGCATGGGCCAAGGCGTCCTTAAGCGTCTCGTGGTGCCGGAGCCTCACAGCAGCTCTGACTTCCAGGTCACGGATGCCGTCGATGAATGTCTGCACCAGGTTCCCTTCAATGAGCGCAGGTACAGACCGGTATGCTTTTCGCACCAGCTTCTCCACCTCTAGAGCCCACTGCTGCAGGTTTTCGTTGATGCGCTGCACGCGATCTTTAAGCTGCGCACGATAGACGTGTTCCAGGTGAGCGTCACCATATCTCGCCTCCAATGCCTCAAGGAGTTGCTCATAAGTCACTTCCTCACTGAGGGCTTCCAGAACTGTTAAGGCCCGGTCGCGCAGGCCTAGTGTGAGAGCAGTCATGGCCTAACTTTTATTCCAGCCGTTCGCCTTCATAACAGCCTCGAACTGGATTTTGTAGGCTGACCAGGAAGAAGTCCCGTCGAACGGTGGCACCTTGAACCCACGTAGCGAAGGTGTAGTAGCTACTACGGGAGCTGTAGTTCCATCCCCAAGTTTGAGTTCGTCCAGTGATTTCTTCATGTCAGACATTACGTTGTCAACCCGATTGTTCACTTGGTCGATTCGGGTTTCAGCTTCCGACAGGCGGTTGTCATGTTGAGCAACCTTATCCTTCACCTCCCTTATCTCTTTCCCGAAGGTAGCGTGTATGTCCTTCATGAGGAGCATCTGCTCTTCCTTATCGCGCTTGAGCTGCTCTTCCAACCGACGGGCCTGTTCCTCCTGTCGGCGGGCCTGTTCCTCCTGTCGGCGAGCCCGTTCATCCTGTCGACGAGCCTGTTCCTCCTGATGCTCTTTCAACCAACGGGCCTGCTCCTCCTGTCGGCGAGCCTGTTCTTCCTGTTGCTCTTTCAACCAACGGGCCTGCTCCTCCTGTCGGCGAGCCTGCTCCTGCAGCATCACCATCAGAGCACCTAAGTCAGGTGCTGCAGTTGTAGGAGCTACTGACGGGCCTGCAGCCAGCGGCTGGCCCTCCGACGTCTGCGGCGTTGCACCACCAAATCTTCTTTGGTCCGTCTCCTGCTGGCATTGACTTCGGATACGGACACCCTCCGTTTCCTCCTTAGGTAAAATCGGCATGATTTTATCCCACTTCTGACACCAATTGTTACGAGCTTGAGGTTCGTGATAATAAAAATTGCCGATAGAATTACATAAATTAACACTTTAATTTTCTTTACACAAATTAAAACTTAAAACACCAATAATTAATCACACTGATTCACTTTATTCCGCTCCGAAGATTCGCTTGTCTCGCCAAATTCAATAATTCCTCGATCGCATCTTGCAGCGCCTATAAATATAAATTAGCACCGAAATATCCAGAATATTCAAGTAAACACGCGCAAGGTACCGAGAGTTCGAGTTTCATCTTCTAGAAGTTTAGTTCTTCGGTTCGAGACTAGATGGCGCTGTCGGTTGAAAGATTAGTGATGTCATTTTCTGGAAAGCTCCCCTCGCTCTCGTCTCTGACACTAGATGGCGCTAGTGCCGTCGACTTAGGCGCGTAACAATACTTACGTAAAGGACTCAGTATTCGTTTAAGTGAATAAAATTGTTTTTTTTTTTTACTTGAATAGTGTAATTGGTTTTAATTAACGTTCTTAGTCAAAAGTAGTTTTGCCTATTAAAGTTCAGACTATACTAACAGTAACCGTACATTATATAAATACTTTTATCAATCATCATAAAATAAGTAGTTTTATCATTCTTGGTCAACAAATTGGGTAATCAACGAAATCTGAAATTAACTAAAGGAATTTAAACATTTACTTCAGTAAGATCAACAAAAAACCTAAAAACAGTCCGACGGTAAAGGACAACAATCGTACATAAAATATAGTAATTGCATTTATAAATTTGCAATACAACCCGCTCTCTGACTTCCGCTATTTAACGGTGGAGTATCCATTAACATGCAGAATAACTAGGTAAGGTGGAGATATTTGCTAATTTAAGTAAAATTTCGCACATTAACCGATCGTTTCCGATAATCTGCATATTATCTAGCTAATGCGTAATATCACTAAAAGAAATAAATTGAAACAAGTACTTAAAAAAATAATGAAGAAAAATAAAACTTACTACTCCAAATCCAGCGCCCCGCACCGTACCAGCTGGTGTTGTTGTATCTTTTAAAAATCCAAAAACATCATCAACATATCTATCATCTATTGCATCAGTGTTTTGAACGTTATTTTCCACAACTATATCCTTAGAAATCCAAATAGATCTCATGAGGTCGTCAAACTTTTTCTCGTAATTATTTTCAGCTGCTTCTTTGTTATTATTCAACATCAAGAACTCTTCTCTTTCTTTTTGGAATTCAAACAATTTACTACGAATTACATGCCCCTTTTCACTTACAAGTTTTCGAATCAAATAACCTCTGCAGTGCGCTTGCAGATTTTTAAAGAACTTTCTTAAGTTTAGGAATGTTCTTCTCAACTCTCTAGATTTGATTGCTGCTTGTAAACGTAGGTAACCTCTTCTAAGAACAAGATATCTGCTTCTGAATCCACGAGCACGGAAATGCTTCTGTATAGTGATTGCAGCAGCTCGCATGCGTAGGTATTTGCGTCGGAGTAAAAATCGTCGTATATTAGCTTGTGTTTTGATAACACTTCTTATTATAACAGTATGTCTGAGTTCTTCTAGTATGACATCGTGATGATCTTTCATAAAAACTTTTGTATGGCCAAACCTATAGTCTTCATCTTTTAGTACTTCAGTGCATATCTTCTTTGTTGCATTTTTGCAATCAGTTTTTTCTGCAGGCGGTATACCTGGCACAACGAGGCGGTAGCGATGAACGAATTCAGAATACGAATAGCGAATTGGATAACCCGCCTGCCTTATTTTTGCTGTCTCCATTAAGCCGGCATATCGTAACTGACGGACACATAGAGCACGGTCAAAAAGCTGTAAAATAATACAGAAGTCAAAAAACTGTAAAGTAAAAATAGAATAATGACAAAATTGATCTTATTTGACGATCGTTGAAAAATCTCTAGACGCTAAACACAACAAAATTTCTGGTGCAATCAGGCGTTACTTTGCGGAAATCCATTTTAATAAAGATATTTATAGTTATTTTGCAACTATCCGCAAAATTAAATAAAATGATGTGTCTTTCCTAGTCTGAAGAGCACCTCCCGCCCTCTCTCAATTGCGTGCACTAATCCCGTCACCAACAATTTTAGCACCACTACTCCTAACACCACCATTCCAGAATGGTGTGTCTTTCCTAGAATAGTGGTGTTCTAGAATGGTGTGTCTTTCCTAGAATAGTGGTGTTCTAGAATGGTGTATCTTTCCCAGAATAGTGGTGTTCTAGAATGGTGTCTTTCCTAGAATAGTGGTGTTCTAGAATGGTGTATCTTTCCTAGAATAGTGGTTTTGGGAGTAGTGGTGCTGGGATTGATGGTGACGGGATTAGTGCACGCAATACAGGGATGGCGGGAGGTGCTCTTCAAACTAGGGAAGATACATCATTTTATTTTATTTCGCGGATGGTTGCAAAATAACTATTAATATCTTTATTCTTAAAAAATGTAAAAGTAAAAACGTCGGCTACGTACCCTTGGCTTTTTTATTTCGTTTGGCTTAATGCATCTTACAAAGAACGGGTGGCATGCATATAAAGTCTTCATAAGGGCATCTAAAGATGTCTTGAACTGGTGACTTAATGACACAGTCTTTCTACTTCCGCTATGGGTTAATTGTTCCAAGTGAAAAAGGTCCTTTAAAAATTGACTACTCGAGTCCAAAATCATTTCTTTTACATCGGATGTTAACATATCTCTATTCTTATCAAGAAAACCTGCACATATTTAGAATAAAGTTAGCATACATATAATGTTAAAATAAAATTTTAGTTAAATGAAAAAACATTTACGCATTACCTTTAACTTCATAATATACGTCACCAGCAAAATGCCGTACACCAAATCGATGCTCATGTGTCGACTTTGGAGTGACGTAACACGATTTATTACTATGATTATTGTGAAGTTTCGACAAAAGTGTAATATCAGTACCTTTAGGAAATCTCGATTCCTCATCAATAAGTGATAATAAGTTCATTGGCTTAAGGCCGATCATATCCAGATTGACCTGGTTATCGACATAATTAACGTTCGTCCAGGTTATACCTTCCTTTTCATACTGTTCCTGTTCAATCTTAAAAATGTGTCTTACGAAAAATTGTTGCAAATTTTCATTGGCATAATTAATGCACAACTGCTCAAAACTGTTCGATTCAAAATTTTCAAAACCGAAAATATCTAAAATACCAACGGAACCGCTTGACAGTTGCTGGCCTTTACATAATGTTTTATTAATATTTTCTACAATGTACTCAAAAATGTGCCCGTAGATCGCTTTGACGAGTGCGTCTCTTCCTACCACCGCTGCCGATATTGATAATGTAGAAATAACTTTATCTCCCTGAGCAATTAAAGTTTTCTTAGTTAAAGCTTCACACAATTTATCTTTGTTTACTCCTAGAAGTGTCGCAATTCTATTCGCATTAACCACATCAGCCACTTCTGAGGACTCAATATTATTTATATTAAACGACTTAAACTTTATATTTCCTAAATGTAAAATCGCGGCAAGCAAACTGAAAACTCCCCAAACCTCACTTTCTGGAAAATTAAGCACTTTGAACGCTGAACGTATATCGGCGAACTCGTGTGCATCATTTCGACCATCACAGGTTAACATATTTCCAGAATTCAAGTACAAATAATCTGCAGGACGTCCTAAATCCAGTTTCTTTTTCTCATCGGCTGACAATCCTGTTACTAGAGAATAAAATATGTGATAATTACGTTCTCCTTTGTTTTGAAAGACTATCCTGGACCTTTCTAAAAGATATTGATCTATATTTCCGCCTTCTATGACACCTTTTCGATCAAAGTAAATATTTATGTACTTTCCAAACCTTGACGAATTATCATTCTTTACGGTTTTAGCATTCCCAAAAGCCTCTAAAATAGGGTTGGTCTCTTGAATCTGTTGTTCTATCCACGAATGCTTTCCACTAGCTGCCGCTAGGTACTGTAGCAATAGTTTTGTACTCTCAGTTTTTCCAGCTCCACTTTCACCGCTAAAATCACGAAAGTTATAATGTTATGTTATTTAAGTTTATGATAGAATATTTATTTAAGAAAATGCTATTAATGAGATCTCTATTATACATCAATCAAACCTAAAACGGGTGAGACCCATGTCTGGCAGAGTAATTTACGCACATTTGATAATGATGATGTTGAAGAGAAGATGATAGTTTAAAGGCTAAGCGCTCGCCGAAATTGCAATTTTAAATACTTACTGATTCACCAAGTGTTTGTGGTGAAGAAAGACATCGTAAGAAAATCTGCATGTCTATTAAATAAAAATATTTTAAAGACATGTTAAGTTCATCCTTTTTAACCTAACCTTTTCATAAACGAGGGAGCATGTGCAGTCGGACGTATATAAGCTGTAACTCACTGACCTCTATTATATACTACTTATAGTAGTTACATAGAGGTCGGTGCTGTAGTTATTAACCACAAATAAACAGCCGTAAGTTTTTTTTTTGATATTTGATAATTTCCTGACCGATACTGGCACGGCGTCAACTTTCGAATCTTTTGAAAAATAAAAGTTTAAATAATAATAAAAGTTTAAAAAATAATAATGTTCCAATTACAATTTTTTTCCGTATTTCATTTATTATGAGCTTATGGAGTGTAGATGTAGTTGTGGTGTAAGTAGGTTTAGTACCTGCTGGTAGTCTTTTATTAAATAAATAATTGTGTGAGTCGCCACAAGCTAAATTGAAATAGGTATCCAAAAACCACATAAAAGCCCTAAAAAGCAACGACTAACTTTGATAGATGAAGGAAAGTGGTTATACTTTAAAAGCTGTTACGAAAGTTAACGTGCCAGCAGTTAAAAATTAATTGAAGAGAATAGGCGAATTACGTATTAAGAAATTGAATAAATATTGCAGATTGGATTATTAAGCATTCACGATATTTTACACGAACACCTTCGCGGAAGGATAGTTTCACGTTGGGTGCCGCACGACCGCACCGATGCCGAAGCAGGCTCGGGTGGAATTTCTTGTTTGTCTCGGTGATTTCATGACATTATTACAGGTTTTCATCGTCTGTATTGGATTTATCAAAGCGGTCCAGAAACGAAGCGCCAGTCGACGGTTTGACTATTTCAGAATGAACCAATTCCTAACATACCGCACCTTTTTTATTTTTAGCATTGTGATTTTTTTGGCACTAAACCAGCATAATATAAGTTTTTTTATATAGAATTAGGATGACAAACGAGCACACAGTCCACCTGATATGGTAAGTGGAATCGGTGGCCCATAGACATCTACATTTAACCTCGATTCCAGTAAAACGGGTCTCCGGTTCTCTATTTTAAGCTGGTATTCTGTGAGAGCGTGGTCCTTCCCTGGTCGAACCGACCCTTTCGTGCTTCAACCATAATATAGCTGCAGCGTGGCTCTACTACGTATAAACGTACTATGAATGTACATATTATATGAATATACCTATATAAGGTGGAAGGACCAAGGAAGACCATGCTCCTTGGAAGGCCAATTATTAAAATTTCGTAGTTATTGCCATTTGATGACAAATTCCTTCTACTTACACAAACACCCATCGAACTGAAAATCACAGACGCGGCGGCGAATCGCTCGCACTACTATTTTGGCAGTACGGTCCCTCGCTTCATTGAATTCGAGAATCGACGACGTTAAGTTGAGGTATAACAAATAAACAGTTATTATTCGTTTATTTACTGGATAAATGAAACTAAGAAATATTTAAGTAATACTTTGTTTTATTACGTAACATATAAACCACTTCTTTTTATTGTAGGTTTAATAGCTATTTATTAAAATTTAGTGTTAAATTACTGATTTATTATAATGGCCTTCTAAGGAGCCTTGTTCCTAGCAAGGCCATTTGGAAGACTTCTATGAAACTTAAGTTCAATCAATATTGATTAAATCTGCAATTTAAAAAAGTGGTTTATATGTTATGTATTAAAACAAAGTATTACTTAAATATTTGTTATATTCATTTATCCAGTAAATAAACGAATTATCACTGTTTATTTGTTAGAGTGGCCTTCCATGGTACACCCACCTTAATAAAAAGTAATATGAATCTGAGTATTATAGTCCCTACATATAGGATTTTATTAATATGTTGACTACAGCGCCACCTTTCGGACCTTAATCTTGGCAAAACAATTATATTGTGTGAATGATTCATAAATGTATTTTTAATAACGACAACAGTGCCACCCATCAGGTCTTATCATAGTCATGAATCATTTCGACAAAACAAAAAATTTTGAGTTAATGTAACCATAGTCGGTCAAGTCGTTCTGAAGTTACTCATTTGCTAACGACGCATCAACGAATAGTATTTACACAGATCTTCAATTAGGATTATTGTTACTATACTAATACACATATTATTAACGCAGTTGATAGCCTTACACGCTAACACTTGAGTTAAAACTTCTGTGTGCACTCATTTCGTTTTAACCTACCCGTGCCCAATGCAGCTAACGTTTATGTGATAAAATCAGAAGCAGGTACTAATGGGAGGACTGTCGCAACAAAACCATATACGATAGAGCCATGCCAGAACATGATTGGGTCGACTCGAACAGGAAAGGACCCTCACAGAACAGCGATAGCAGCACAATGCCTCTTTGTTTTATAAGGTAAGTGTAGATAACCAGAGACCATTTTGTACTGGTACTAAGGGATGTCATCACTTTTTACTTTTGACTATTTTGAGTTTTAATTGAGGATAGATGTATGTAGATGTCTATAGTATAGACCACAATTCACTGACCATCCGTTGTAGGTACTGTGCGCTCATTTATAATCCTTACTTCTATATAAAAATACCCAAAACAATTTATGTTTGTTACTAGATAGATACACCTGCCACTACACGTAATAGGATAAAGTTCTAGAGTTCGGCCTGGGTGCCTGCTGCATGAAAAAAACCTTTTTGCATTAAGTGGCGACTTCTCGAATTGTATGACGCATGCGTCGGCACTCCGTGCGCTATCCACAGAGTATTTTCCACAATAGCCTTAGGCTTAAATACGACAAAATAAACAAAACAACAATAGACTATAGTAACAATCCCTGTAAAAAGATTAATGAGTCACACAAAATAGTACAATTTAAAAAGTACAACCTTATTACAATGCACTGATTCGATGACGTCTCCAGAAGTTCTCTGTAGGCATTATTTCCAATAGCAAATATGTGAGGTGGAATGTCTCCAATACTCCTATCTTGATAAAACTGTATTTGATCCATTGTGTATATTGGCAATATTTCATATGGGTTAATCGCGATTAACATTGTTCCGGTATATGTCTAAAACAGTAGATTATTTTTTGTAACTGTAGTTCTCTAACGTCGAATATTTTTACGGCGAGCTATATAGCAAATGTTTAGAAACTAAATAAAACTGTTTTTCTTACATATATTAGTTGCCGGATATAACGTATATGAAGGTTACGCAGAATGGTATGCTCCTGGAGTTCCCCGAGTGTGATCATGTCTTCAACACTGTTAACAGATGTGGCATGGAGGGGCTTAATAACATTACTGACCGATGTTGAGAAAACTTTACCATCGTCATCTTGAACTTGTATTAGATCACCGGAACTGTTGAGTATTTTAACGGCAATGGGAATATCAAATTCAGATTTTCCCTCTGGTTTTAACCAGACAATATCCTAAAAACAATAAATTACTTATGCTCTTATCATAATATTGTAACAACAGAAAATCCCAAAGGGTATCTGTATTGTCGATTTTGCAATACGCTACTCTGACAAGGAAACAACTTACTGAAAGTCGTATTCTATCAGCCATTTTGAACTTTGAGATTCCATTCACTGAATTTTAAACACTTTCTCAAGCTATGACACAAACATATCGACGATGTAACGAAATCATGAATACTGAAAACTACTTATCAATGTTCTAGATTATTTATCATTAATATACAGATGATAAACTCACAACTTATCATAAAATATTTCAAGATAGCACTTTACAACATTTACTTCATAGCCACTCGAAGTTCGTGTTCTCTAATACAATTCTCACTTCTACACAATATTAATTATAACATTTTTTGTCCAATTTTAAAACATCTGATAAATAGCGGTCTTATCCTTATGAAATATACCCAGACCAGAGACAGAAAATCAAGTGAAAGGAAAATCAATCTGCTTGCGTGTCATGATTTATTTGATTTCAAATCCTCCTTACCGTGGGATAAGTCGTAAGATATGTATAGAAACGGAAAATTAATATAAGCTTTGATAGAAATAAAGGGGACAATCATTTTTGGGCCCACTAAAAATATTAACGTCACTTAATGGTATTACATCAAAAAAAAGACACCAAATTATAATAGTAAATGGCCTACAGATTTTTCAAAAATGTAAACGGAATCAAGAAATATGAAAAAAAATTAGTTGTTTTGATATTCGTGTTCTGATTAGTGTAATATGGGTAAAATGCGTGTACCTAATTAGTCATTTTGCAGTTTGTATAAAAAGAAAACTATTTTTTCACAAAGCTGACTTAAAAAAAGATACCACTAAGAACTTTATGTTTAATTTCTAAAAATTTTAGCTAATATCACGTTATAACATAGTTCTAAATGACTGTCAACCAAAACGTTATTTTATCATTGACTTCCGGTAATTCCCAGCGGCCGGCGGCCGGGTACGGCGGGGCGGGGCGGCGGGGTATTACCTACGTCTTTAATCTTAACGGCATTGACGTTCGTCACGCTACTGTTTTTTTGTATTTATATGCGATTTTAAGAAAATGGAATCTGCTAGATCAGCATACAATGAAAATAGAAGTGTATGTTGCAATTGTGGAGTCAGGTTTCAACGCAGTGTGCGAAGACAATTACTGGCCGAGACAACTGCTGATGTGCGCCAACTTTTATCTGTGTGGATTTCTCATGAGGTAGGTATAATATTATCTCATGGAAAGATAATGACTGCACTATACAATCTATCTACTTACATATTATCTAGATTTAAACTTTATGAGAAATATATATTATTTTTGTTATTCTCGATTTTATTCCAACAATATTACTATACTGCGGAAACGAAAATTACATATTTTCTTTATTAATGTATTACTTAATATTTTTATTTTTGTTGAATAATATGGGATATGGTACGATTTTTTAGAAATAATACGAAAGAAAACGATCCACAGACTCCAGGCACACATAACGATCTATACATGATTAAGTACTTAATTATTTTAAGTTTTTAAAAGTAATAATAAATATCCCTTCATATTATTAATAAATTCATACCTTCTATAGCTATAATTTTAATCTTTCGTTATATTAAATTGATAAATGATATATTATATTGATTGAATTATTTTACATTTTGACACAAGATGACACTGCATTCTTTCCTGCTATTTACCAACTTACAGGCATAGTTCTTTGCATTGACTCCATTGATTGATTGACTGGCATTGACTGTAAGAAAAAAGTCTGTTGTTTCAAACTATTTGGTAGAAAAAATATAATATGGTATAAACTTTTTTGTTTAAATTGATGTAAACTGTGTTCGTGTTAAAGTAAAAGTTTAAAAATGAAAATTCACGTAGTTTTACTGCTTACAAGTGGATTAGTATGTTAATGTCTAATTGATGCAAAAAATGTTTAACCTAAGGGTTATATCATGCACGTAAGTCAAATATTAAATACCTATATCACATTTATGTATATAATTTGCCAATGACATTCGAAAATGCAAACTGACGAGTAAAAGTCCATGTGAGTAATATAAAAGTTTATTTTTTCCTCCTAGTATTTTGTAAAATCTATAACTTATACTGAATTAACCTTTAACAAATGATAAACACAGGTCTTACTAATGTGTTAAATGTTAAAGTATTGAAGTTTTATGTTATTAGTGAAATCTAATTTAAATAATAGATAAAATAAAGTCACACAATATACACAAAAGAAGTTTTTGTGGCATGGTATGATGTATCACATGTTATGTGTGTCTAATTATCTTTTGTCAGTCAATCAGAAATCAAAGTCGAAAAAGTATAGGTATATATGTGTCAATATTTATTCACGATAAAATATTATGTAAATAGAAAAGTAAGTTATTTTGTGCAATGAAAAATATTTCAATCCACTGTAATATTACCGTTACAGCCAATTAAACTCCACTGCCAAACATAGGCCTCCCCCATATATTACTAATATTACACAACTCCATAATACTCTAATATTATAAAGTTTATTTATCACTATATGATATACCTGAAATACTGTAAATATTGTAAAATCATAATATATTAATCGATATTTGTCTTTTGGATTTCCAATTTTTTTTAATTGAAAATGTATTGTATTTCAAATAATATAAGGTTCCACATCAAACATTCACTTTCATGCCAACTTCGCTTCCCTCCTCAAAATGTACATTTATCTGAACTTAATATTTATTTACTCTTTTATTTTTAATTCCTGATTTTTTCAGTTACACCCACTTGATGCAGTTTGTTGTAACTGCCTAAGAATATTGCAAGAAAGTGTTGCATCTGCTCACTCCATTAGAAGATTTGGGTACAGGAATATTTGTATTCCATGTGGATCTTCAATTTTAAGAGCACACCGTAGACGGATTGTGCCTATTAACTCTGAAGAAAGAGATATTATTTTGCAGTGGATACCATCACACCAGGTACTTACTTTATTTTAAAAGGCTGTAAATGGTCCCCTGCCTCAAATAGGCAGCCCAGAGGATTTGCCACAATCGCTTTGGTACACAGATTGATGTTTGTAAAATCAGACACCTTGCTTACAATTTGGTCTGATATTTATGCTCATTCAACATGGCTGTTCACTAACAGGTTATCTTTAAATTTACAGTCTACCAAAAGTCTACTGCTGAACATAGAACTCCCCATAGATTGTCTTATGGGGGGGATATTTGCCATTAATAACCACTTTTTTATTTTTAGTTATTAGATGAACGATACTTCTTCCTTATCTTACACCCATATTTGTATGCTTTTGTACTTATTATACAAGTAATATTTTTTACCTTAAAAGACATTAGTATAAATAAAACGGGTTGGGTTTACAATTCGGTCGCCTCAATTTGAAGATTCTGTTACTGTGGGGGCGTCAAGGGAGTTTATCTGAAGCACCTACACGCGAGTTTTGCTACCGGAGCAGCATCGAAGTATTTTTATTTATTTTTTGAAAATATTGGTAAACAACTAATTAATTAAATATTCTCACGTTTTTGACGTTTCATCTGTCAATGTCATATCGATATATAGTACTAAATCGATCTAGTGAATCGATATTTCACCCTAGAGAATCAAGATCAAATCTTTTCTGTTTTGTTAAGATTTACAAAATTATTTATAATTAGTTGAAAGTACCCCAACTCGTAAAGAATGACAGTTTTTCAATTTAATCATTCAATGTTATCTGAAACTTTAAAGAACTTGGGCTTAGTGAAATATTGTTAATAATTCTAAAATAATTACTTCTTGTCTGATATGTGATGTATTATTTATTTCTATTTAAATAAGTAGTGCCACAAAAATATTATGAGGGGAAACAATTGCATGCTAATATTTATAATTTTAAAAGACATTAAAACTATTTAGTGTTAGAAAGATTGAAATAAATAGAACAATAATAAATATTATTAATATTTAGAGTAGACACTGTAAAACTATAGTTCATTTTGTTAGTTGATAAAAAATATCTTTTTTCAGGTGGATCGTTTAGAACGAGTATGCAGTCCTTGCTGGCTGAGAGCTTCCAGAGCTGTATGGAGACAGAGACAACAAAATGAGAACAGGGATATTGAGTTACAATCCATGAATATAGAAGACATCGGTAACATCCCACAACCACCCCCTATACCTGCACCTGTAACCCCTGCCATTTCCAGAGCGGTATCAACAATTACTATGGCTAATTATAAGCGTGCTGCTTCTACTTCCCGTCACTGTATTTTTTAAGTCATGTAATCATTCATCTAGATTTTTAATACCTAAACTACTTAAAGAGAGATTGCTGATAGATCACTCATTTTATGTGCCACTGTGCGCTCGTATTTGTGAATACCATTTAAATGAACCCCACAATGATTGGAATAATTTATACACGAGTAGTAACTGTTCAGATTTTACTGCATCTCAGATAGACAACCTTTGTTCCTTACTTAAAAGTAGTGTTACTCAAAATTATAATATTTTAAATATCATTAAACATAATTCAATATTATGCAAATATTGGTTAGGATTTACCAACTACCAATTTGAACAGTTACTAGTTGAAATTCCATCTATCAGTGAAAGAGTTAAATCACCTAAAAGAAGTCTAGCTATGTTCTTAGTGAAACTTCGTACAGGTGATAGCAATGAACGCATAGCTTCTCTATTTAATGTAGCTTCATCGACTGTGTTCAATCACTTAAATATTGTAAGTCAGTGCTTTGAAGAGCAATTCATCCAACTGCATTTAGGGACAAATACCTTATGCATTCAACAAGTTGCTCAATATAACTTGACAATACCAAATGGCTTGTTTGGTAATCCAGATATGGATCCTGAATTTATGCCAGCCATAGTAATATGTGATGGTACATACATTTATGTGCAAAAAAGTAGTAATTACTTATACCAGAAGCAAACATATAGTTTACATAAGTATCGTAACTTAGTTAAGCCATTTTTAATAGTGTGCTGTAATGGTTATATCCTTGATGTTTTTGGACCATATCCTGCAACAGAATCAGATGCTTCTATAATTCTTAGACTGTTCAATGATAATAGTCCACTGCGAACCTATTTTAGAGAAAACGATGTATTTATTCTTGATAGAGGTTTTAGGGATGCAATTCCATTCTTGCAGCAATGTGGTTATAAGGCTTACATGCCTGAATCTAAACAAGCTGGTGAAATACAATTATCAACCATTGCTGCCAACAAGTCCAGATGTGTAACTTTGTGCAGGTGGGTGATTGAAATTGTAAATGGGAGATTTAAACGGGACTTCAAATTATTTCGTCAGGAATATTTTAATACTGCATCTACTCATCTCATGCTATACTTTAAAATTGCAGCTGCATTAATAAATCGATTTCATACGTTGATTCATAATAATTTTCATGCTGTAGAGATATTGGCAATTGCTCAAGCCAAACTAAACACTCCAAATAATTTAGCCTCCTACGTAGAAATGCACAATTTAAATAGAGTGAGAGTGCGATTTGCCAGCATTAATGGTAATCTTCCAGAGCTGGATAATTTTCCTCAATTGACATTCCAGGATCTCATTCTGTTTAGTCTAGGAATTTATCAAATTAAACAAGCTCGTAGTTATTACGGGGAGCATGTCAGGGCTTCTGGAGAATATAAAATCGAGGTATACCTGCAATCTGTCCATGATTTTGGTCCAAATAGTTATCTATTGCGAGGTAGGATACAATCAAGGCACACTAGTAAAAAAACTTATTACACTTATATACTAGTTGACACCAACCCATCAATTGCTAACACTAGGGCTGCTCTTACTGGGTACTGTTGCAACTGTTTGGTAGGCAGGCGCACTGTTGGCTGCTGTGCACATGTCATGTCTGTTGTCTGGTTTCTATCTTGGGCACGGCATCGAGATGAGGTTGAACCACCTGCATCTTTTTTAGATGATATATTACTTTCAAGTAATGATATTGAAAATGATGAATGATGATTATTAATCTTAATGCATATTAATATTGTAATATAAATGATCATTTTTGCTATAGTTGCTTCACTTGTGGCAACCAAAGTTTTTTGTGGTATTCTATAGAAAGATGCTGCTCCTCATCTCCTGGTATTTTTATTTTATTCTGTCGACTTTAACGACACCATACGGGACGGAACGTGATGGCAATTCACGGAAGGCCTCTGTAATATTTTACATTATATCTTTAATTTAGGAGCCATATGTTCGGCAGTGGACTGTTGTAATGATGATGAATAATGATGACTAAAAATTGTAATTTTTGTTGCTTATTTGAACTATTTCTATTTTACTGTGTGCTTTATTATCTGTTATATATTATGTTATATGTGTAATTTATAAATAAACGCCGAGCAAAGTTGAATTTATTGCTCTGGCACCCTTTTTTATCTCTTTTAATTGACAATATCCTTGTGATTTCTAATAATATCGTAAACGGGCGAGACATTATACTTTAATGATGTATGGGATTTATACTTGCTAATAGATGAATACTTTAATGAACAAAGGGCCGGCACTGCACCTGTCTGCTGTGTTATTTTTAAAAGAGGACTCATAAAACACTGACGATTTTAATCATAATTAATGCAGTGATTATAGATGATCTTTGGGACTTATTACATATCAATATCGTATCATAAATAGAAATGTTACCATCAAGTTATTTTGAAAAAATCTTTTAATATGATCTTTTGATATGAAAACACAAAAAATGTTTCTACCTATGTCCTTTAGAAACCATCCAAGCGATTTTGATGATATGTTTATGTGTGTTTGAATGGGTCTCTATATGATTCATATTCACATATGGACTCGGTAGGTGGCGCTGTTGTCGAAATCCAGAAATCACCTGTGCGAAGTCGGGGCGGATCGCTAATAATAAATACAATTAAACTATACCTGTGTGTTTGTTATCCTGGCACAAACAGTTCAAAACATCTTACTTCCTCACAATTTATCAGTGTGTAATAACAGATAAGCATGATATTACCTAGTCATTTTGGTATTTTAGAACCCAGTCATTTTAAGATGTATAATTAGGTATTTAATAATCAACCAAAGCATATTAAAAAAAGTCTTGACACCGGGCCTGTCTGTCTGTCTGCATAAATAGATCTGAATTATATGTCTGAATTATATAGACTATGTTGGAAATGATGATTTACTATCTATAAATACGGTTGCATTATAACTTGTTTTTACACAGTCAGTTTAAAACATCTTTCTTACTATATAACGTGTGTTGGTAATATTGTAAATATAAATGGATATATTATACCTTAGTCATCTTGAATTTAATCATATTATTTTAACGGTAATTGGGAAGTACACTCACAATCAATATATGTAAAAAATTGTATCCATACCACATTTGTACACAGACAGGCACTATATTTTGCCGTAACTACTAAAAATATTGAAGTACCTGAAAATGCTGAATGTACCTACAACTTGTTTTATATGAACTATTATTCAACAGTGCACTATTTTAACTTAAAATACCGGTAAAAACCACTATAAATAGCTTTTAGTTTATTTCTAGGTCATTTTAAAATTCATATTTTAATTGTTAATTTCTCGATTTTCCGTCTAGATGTGGTAAAACTAATATTACTTTTGTAAACTATAGATTATAAGGAATAAATCGACATCCATTTCATTGCGTGACGCGAAAATTTGTGGTGGGCCCATTCTCCATACAAAAATTGATTGTCTCCTTTGCAAAAAACTAAATAACATTTCTTATATTGCTTAATCAGATGGTACAAAATAAAAGAGGCATCTAAAGAATTAGTAAATACAATTTATTTAAAAATAATCCAGTATTCGATTACTTAAGCTACTGACTCTAAATTACTTTTTCTTTTCTTCCTTTTCTTTTTTATCTGCTTTTACTTTGTCTTCTGTCTTCTTATCGTCTTTATCATCTTTTTTATCTTTCTTTTCTTTAGACTCTTCTTTCTTTCCTTCTTCTGCATCTCTGTTTGTTATTTTATTGTTGATAAGATTATGCAAAGCTATTATAGATCTGACAAGTGCGGCTAGGTATACAACGAGAGATTGATCATTAGTCTTGATATACAGGTTATCAATAAAGTTATCACTAGCAATATCAGGCAATAAGTTGAATATGTCCTGTAACTGGTATATGATTTGGTGGTTCATTGGTAGGGATCCCTGTCCAACTTGAATAAGGTAATCGCGGATTTCGCTAAGTTGTGAATGAAGGCCACGAAGTCCGAGCAACTGATTAGTGATACGTTGTGAGAGACTACCAACAGTTGTATCTTTAATGTCTCTGAGCAAGTGTTCAACTCCAACTTCTTCTGCCTCTTCTGCACCTATCTCACTAGGCACATGTTCAAATGTTCTCGTTGTAGGACTACCATCATCGTGAACTTCTTCTACGGCCTGGTATGCTTCAGTGGGCAAACCAAGATCTTTTGGCTTAGCATCAATAATAACAAGAACAGAGTTAGGACAATAACGTCTAATCAACTCATTTATTGCCACATCATTTTGATGTAGTTTAGGCCCAGTATGATACCAACCTACAACCTTCTCACGGGCGTTTACTTTTTTAAACATCCCATACATGTTCTCCAAGTAATCATGGTCTAAAAACCAAACAGACTTGTCCTTGTCATCTTCATCAAAAGGAACTAAAAATGCAAAAATGAAACATTAGCAATATAATCATTCATACTATGGAAGTGTATTATAGTGGCTAGCCTGCAAAGCATCTATTCAAAAGATCCATTAGTCCGTAAGTTAACTGCCGTGTAGTGGCGTTATAGAATCCAACTACCTCACTTCATCTCTGAGATGTAACAAGTCAAAATATCTGTCTGCTAAGCGTGACAACTATGGCAAAAGAAGAGTAAGAAGGTAATCGTAATCTTTGTGGGAGTCCTGGGTTCAGCAGTGGATATAAATAGGCTTTAATGATAAAAATGATGATGACGATCTAATAAGAGTCCATTCCATAGACGAAAAATTTATTATATTAAAAAAATCCCCGATTATGTTTAACACATCCAGTGACTATAAAAGAAAGTCGCTCAGCTAGCCATGGAGACGGATATGCTCAGAATTTCTCTGCATAACTAACATAGCCTAAAATATCAGTAAGCTGAAGAGGCAATGGGTTGCCATATAGCTAGAAGAACCTATAACTTCTGAGGAAGAAACGTTCTTTAGTGACAGTCTTATACCAGTAAATGAAGTGCAGGGTGGAGTGATGGGTAAGAGATGCAGAATGTGTATGGATGTAAGTGGCTCAGGACCACGCTTTGTCCCCCTTGAGGTAAGTCAATGTTCAATAGTATACAAGTGATTGGCTGTAATGATGATGATGACAATTTTGCACCAATTTAGGTATATGAAAAGTGTAATTTTTGGTATGAAAATATTTCTTTATGATAGATAAATAGCCGTGAAGTGGAGGTTGAGAGTATCCACTACCCCATATCTCCCCGTGGGTGTCGTAAGAGACGACAGAGGGAGGCAGGCAGGGGCAGCAGCATCTTCCTGATAACAGCAATTACACAATAAAAAAACTGCGGTTGCCAACCCGTTCGCCAAGCGTGGCAATTATGGCAAGCATTCCCCCATGAGTAACGACACAAAAAAACGGCCCCTAGTCCCCGGCGGCCCCGTTATTCCTGGCTAACCATGGTAACGGCGGGGCAGGGGGTGCTAAGAATCTCCCATGGAGGTTCGGTTGCCACCTACGACGACTCGACCTGGCAACATATAACGCACGCTTCCTGAGGGCTGACGACAAGATACTAGAGCTGGAAGAAGAGGTAGACAAGTTGCGCTGGCATATAATAGGATTATCCGAGGTACGAAGAGAGGGGGAGGACACGGTAACCCTCGAATCCAGTAACCTGTTTTATCACCGGGAGGGCGACCATCTCTCCCAAGTTGTCGGATTTATCGTCCACAAGTCTCTCGTTAACAACGTTGTAAAGATTGGGAGTGTGTCGAAGAGGGTCGTGTACCTGATACTCAGAATCACCAAACAGTATTCGCTGAAGATCATACAGGTTTACGCACCAACCTCAACACATCGCGATGAGAAGGTGGAGAAAATGTATGAGGATATCTCTAGAGCCATGCATTTCTCCAAAACCCACTCACTATACGGTGTTAATGGGAGACTTCAACGCAAAACTGGGCACAAGAAAGAACGGTGAGCTGAAGGTAGGGAAATTTGGGATAGGGCAACGGAACCCAAGGGGCCAGCAGCTGGCCGACTTCATGGAGAAAGAGGGACTCTTTATGATGAACTCTTTCTTTCAGATGCGGTCCCACAGGAAGTGGACCTGGTCGAGCCCCGACGGTTCACAAAAAATGAGATTGACTTCATTATCACGACCAGACACCAACTGTTCCGTGATGTCTCAGTGATCGCGAAGGTGAAAACTGGCAGCGATCACCGAATGGTTAGAGGCATACTAAACGTAAACGTTACTTTGAAGAAGTCTCGTCTAATGATGTCAACGATCCGTCACCCTCGTGCGCTTATCCAGGGACCCGAAAATTTTCAGCTCGAATTATAAAACCGTTTTCAGTGCCTAAAAGACCGCAATACATTGGACGATATGAATAATTAATAGAATCAGGCGTTACTTTGCGGAAATCCATTATAATAAAGATATTAATAGTTACTTTGCAACCATCCGCTATATAAATAGCAGCTGTTTTGGCTCGCTGCTCCCTCTCAGGGTCACCCTAGGCCCCCTCAGGGCATAATTCGGCCCCCCTCCGGGCTTCTCCAAGCCAATGCAGCCTCCAGTCTTTCCCTGGGGGCCCAAAAAAGCAGACCCACCGCGGACAACCTCGTACGCACACGAAACAGAGCCCACACCTGACGACTACAACACACTATATTCCGCTATTAGGAATATCGATGTTAGGGAAATCACCGTAGTAGCACGCAAACTGCGCGCGGCGAAGTCCCCCTAAGAACGTCTCCTCGTTCTTGCTGAACACAACAATCTTCTATTAGCGTTGTAAGTTAAGTTAACTTAATTAACTTAACTTCAATGACTGAGCAAATCGCTCTACCTAAATCTCACGGTCGTATCAAACCTAAGGGTTTATCGCTTGTAATATTCGCGGCTTGCGAAATAACCTCCCAGAGCTTAAGCTCTTTCTTCGGAATCGTGAAGTCGATTTCCTCCTCCTACAGGAAACTAATCTCAAAGCTAAGGACACTAGAGGCCTTTCTATTAAAAACTTCTCTCTTCTTCGTAACGACAGACCCGACCGCCGAGGCGGCGGAACGGCCATCTATTACAAGAACACACTTCATTGCTCGCCCATTTCTACTCCGCAGCTTACCAACATGGAAGCCACGGTATGCAGGCTAGCTATGACTGGACATCAGTCCATCCTCATAGCCTCCTGTTACATCCCTGCAGGAACCTATCCCCTCAAAAAAGATTTTGAGGCCATTTTATCTTTAGGCAATTCAGTCATTATGTTTGGAGATGTTAACTCCAAGTATACTGAATGGACATGCCGCACTACGTCCCCTAGTGGCAAGATACTGCTCGATATCGATTGCGTACTATCAGATGGCTAGAGCCCTCCGCATAGACGCTATCACCCACACTCCCCCTCTCTCCCGTCCCGACGGCACGGTTGCCTTCCAGGACGAGGAAAAGGCTGAGTGCTTTGCAGATAGCATTGCCGCTCAATGCTCTCCTAGTTCTCAACCCGTCGACCCCTCTCACGTCCAGGCAGTGGAGGATGAGGTCCGCCGCTGGAACTCACCCCCTACGGCCTCCGAACCTATCTCTGTGTCCAATGATGATATTTCATCCCTCATCAAAGGACTTAAGCCCAAAAAGGCTCCGGGCGCGGATGGCATCTCCAACCAAGCCCTAAAACACTTTCCTGAGCAGGTGTTAACCTTTTTATCTATTATCTTCAACACCTGCTTCAACCTCAGTTATTTCCCCACTACGTGGAAAGAGGCTACTGTGATTGGAATTCCCAAGCCAGGCAAGCCTCTCAACCTCCCCCTCCAGCCATCGCCCCAATAGCCTCCTCAAGGCAATGGGCAAGCTCTTCGAAAGTCATCCAAACGCGTATGAGGCGCTATCTGTTTCCCACAGACGGCGACCCTCTTATCATTCCCCATCAATTCGGTTTCCGAGCCAAACACTCATGTCCCCAACAAGTTCACCGCATTGTGAAATATATCCTCAGCGGTTTCTATCCTCGTCGTCATAAGACCATCGCGGTCTTTTTCGATATAGCTAAAGCTTTCGATAGAGTCTGGCACACAGGCCTCATCTACAAGCTCTACAAAATAGGTCTCCCCGATCGGCTAGTTCGTCTCGTGGCCTCCTACTTAAAACATACCTTTCGTTTCAGACACGAAGGCACGCTATCGTCGCTGGCGAACTATCAAGGCTGGTGTCCCTCAGGGCTCAGTACTTGCTCCTCTGCTGTACATCCTGTTCACCAACGACATTCCCATCCCGTCGAAAGGTGTTCAACTCTCCCTCTTCGCAGACGACACTGCCATCTACTGCAAAGGTGTCTCACTACCCTTCATACGGAACAAGATCCAAAAGTCAGTTGATGACCTAGGAGCTTGGTTCAAAAAATGGCGCATCGATGTGAACCCGGAGAAGAGCTCCGCCGTTCACTTCGATTATAAACGACGCCGTTTCAAAAACACTCCACCAATACGTATGCTAGGGACCCCTGTCCCCTGGCATACGTCCGCCAAATATTTAGGTGTCACTCTAGACACAGGGCTCACTTTCAGGCCCCACGTCAAAAGAGTAACCCGTCACGCACGGTTTTATCTGAGTGTAGGGCCTGAGTGTAGGGCCTCAACAGTATGTTGAGCCGACACAGTAAAATGTCCCTTCGAAACAAGCGTACCCTTTACAAGGTCTGTATACGACCAGTCATGTCCTACGCGGGCCCCGTCTTTGCCCACGCAAACCCTAATATTATAAATGAACTCCAAATAGTTCAGAACCTCTTCTGTCGTCGAGCTGCGAACGCACCTTGGTCCGTCCGTAATGCCGACCTTCATCGGGACTTAGAGCTCCCAACAATTCAACAATTTCTTAAAAAAAACTCTCTGAGAACTTCTTTAAAGCCTCAGAGTCGCACCCAAACCAATTAATTCGTGAGACAGCTTCTTATGCAGCCCCACCTCGCTATCGTGTCTGCAGGCCGAGAAACTCTCTCTCGGACCCGCCTAATAAACTGTCAAACGACCTGAACTGTCTCCTGGCGGCTCAGGCCAACTCTAATTAAATTAAATTATTGTAATAACTAACATTAATTTGCCTTCGTAGGCACTCCCTCAGCGGCTCTTAGCCGCCTGCGCCCTCTTTTCCCAAAAGAGGGTCACTCATGATAAGGCACAATACAGCTTAATCAGCCGGCTGCCTGTCACCAAAGGCGGTTTTTAAAGGGTATCACTTAGGGTCCCCGGTAGGACAGTGAGCCCCTCATAACCACGATAGACCGGCTATCGTGGTATGCGTAATGCATTTTCCGCCTCCCTACGTATAGGGTAGCCCTTTAATTGCTTCGGGCGCAAAAAAAAAGCTCGCTGCTCACTTAGCGGTTAGCCACCGTAAAGTCTACATCACCTAAAGATGCCTCGTGTATAGGCGAA